TCTGAGATCTATTGGGGAATGGATACGGAAACACTGGCAGAGAAATATATCACAGAGGGGATCCGAGTTCACACTCAAACTGAGACGGTCTGGCATCGAAAAACTCAACACGTCAACAATCAACCAAGTTAGACACACAGCCTAACACACAGCCAGTGATGAAATTACACAGTTAACACAGACAGTGACACCTTCACAATGACACACGGATGTCAACACACTGACACACCGACACATCGACACCCAGGCACATGGACCCACCGTTATACACATAAACACTCGGACGACCGACCAAGACAACATCAGATCATCCCTGAGGACCGAATAACTCATTCTGCGACAGATCCTCATCTCCAGAACGCAATCGTCCTCTTACTCACTGGTCACGTGACTAGACCCGCTGAAGCCGCCGACAGACACGTGATCTCATCTCGCCTGGGGCGTTGGTCTCAGGAAGTGAGGGGGCGCATCGGTCGCGTGATCTGTCATGATGCTTTTACAGTACAGCCTCATTGGCTAAGTCTGGTTGGCCGTCGGCACCCAGTATCAAAGGCAGTAAAGATACCACACATGTATCATAAATCTAATCGAATAATGCAGCACCCACACACATCAGTGACGGGTCACAGCTATCGGACTGTCAGCCACCGCGCTTTGCAGCAGCAGTTTTGTCGGAAAAGATATTTCACTGTTCTGCGAATGCGGTGAAATACCGAAAGCTTTTATGTTGGGGCTTGGCCAGTATCTTTATGTATTAGAGCAACTTTTTCGCTACTTGAAATCTGAAAAGCTTAAATGAAGTTATCAGGGATGGACGGAAGGCATAACTTTGACATAAATAATTTTGCAACCAACAATGTGTGTTGACTGCTCAGTGTGGAAGCATTCTAACTTTCGCCGGCAAGGCAAACTCTATCCAACTAAATTCTTCATGCACAAACATTCAAAACAAATTTAAGCTTTGTTTTGCCCTCAACATGACCAGAATAGCGTTTTGTGTAATCCTTGCCCTGGACCTGGGTTCAAACAACGCAGCACAGGCCAGTCCGCAATACAAACATCACTAAATACGTCTTACAGAGGAGCTCATACCAGCATTACAACATAACAGTCAAAGCGTTCTGGGTATTTCTGCACCACAAATGTCTCATCCTTGCACCAGGCTTGAGCTGACCCCAGCTTCACGAGTATTCGAGCCACATCCGGCAAAAGAGGCTTGAAAATCTTTGAAGCAATGCTACCAAAAGCATTTTTCTCCTGTTCTGTTTTTTGCTTACGAGTCGAGCGACAGAACATACGATTACGCTTATTCCACAATCCACATCTCATATTTACATACAGGTGGCCAATATCTCAAAACGCAGCCACTTCAAGGCGACGTCCCATAAGACCAAACATCTGCCTTAAAGACATTCAAAACAACAAGCGACACTTTGCTCAAATTCCCAACCACATCAATGTAGCTTCTTATTAGACTGTTGACCTCTTCAAAGACGCCATGACCTGAACCCGCCTAGCTTCATTTCCATAGGCGGCGGAACGGGGAGGGCACCGGGGCACCGTGCCCCCTATAATTTTGGCATTTTAACATTAGCCCTATCCTATGGGCGTTGCATGGAAAGAATGGGACCAAAAGTCGGCAGTGCCCCCCCCCCCTTAATTGAGGGTGTTCCGCCGCTACTGTTCATTTCCACTCTTCAAGGCCCTGAAGCCGCTAAACATCCCCCTAAAACTCTGCTACCAGCGCCTCTCAGTAGAACTCTGCATCTCAAGTCCTTCACTGCCGCTCCTTGCCTCGGAGCCCTGCGCACAGCGCAGTCACATCACAACTCAGTGGGAGAGGAGGGGAGGGGAGGGGAGGGGAAGAGGAGGGGAGGGGAGGAGGGGAGGGGGAGGGGGAGGGGGAGGGGAGGGGAGGGGAGCCGGTTCGACCGGCCCGGCTCGTTCACGGCACGGGCTACACTGGACTGATGGGACGGCCAGACGGACAGCGGCTGCCAGTGAGCGGGTTCGCAAGGACGATGAGCTACGATTGAGACTACATAGATGGATGCAGCTCTTCAACGAGGCACAACTTCTACGTTTTATGGCTAGAATGTTCAGACCAAAGATGCCACATTGCATTGGTATGTACTACACCGGGTCCTGGTTGGCCGTCATTACATCGGCTTCTGTCTGGAGAGAGAATAGGAAACGTACTGAAGGAAAACTCAACACACAGGGTTTGGGACGCAGGAGGGAGGTCACCGTATATGGCCGGTGTCGTCAGGGCGATTGATTGGACGGCGCAGAGCCAGGTCTCAGAGGTGCGGCAGCGAGAGATGAGCATGATTGGAAGTAATGGCGACAAGTAAGTGCCATCAGGGCAGCATCCAAGCAGCAGCATTGCAGTCACTGTCAACGTCACCATCTGCATACCAGCGTTACCACAGTCACCATCAGAAAACCATCACCATTACCAATACCATCAACGCCAGAATCAGTAACAACATCAACATCAGGATCACATCAGAATGCAACGTCAGTGGCTGCCCCGCCATCACATCAGTCATTTGAATAATTATACGCGTCACTGTTATAGACACCCTTATTGCCTGGTCTGTCAGGCGCCTCCATATAAATTACCAGCGCACCCATATCTCATCCTCGCAGCCACGTTATTTCCATAAGAACTGTCACTGTGCAGTGGGCACTGTCCGACCAAGCCTGTCAGGCACTGTCCGACCAAGCCTGTCAGGCACTGTCCGACCAAGCCTGTCAGGCACTGTCCGACCAAGCCTGTCAGGCACTGTCCGACCAAGCCTGTCAGGCACTGTCCGACCAAGCCTGTCAGGCACTGTCCGACCAAGCCTGTCAGGCACTGTCCGACCAAGCCTGTCAGGCACTGTCCGACCAAGCCTGTCAGGCACTGTCCGACCAAGCCTGTCAGGCACTGTCCGACCAAGCCTGTCAGGCACTGTCCGACCAAGCCTGTCAGGCACTGTCCGACCAAGCCTGTCAGGCACTGTCCGACCAAGCCTGTCAGGCACTGTCCGACCAAGCCTGTCAGGCACTGTCCGACCAAGCCTGTCAGGCACTGTCCGACCAAGCCTGTCAGGCACTGTCCGACCAAGCCTGTCAGACACTGTCCGACCAAGCCTGTCAGGCACTGTCCGACCAAGCCTGTCAGGCACTGTCCGACCAAGCCTGTCAGGCATTGTCCGACCAAGCCTGTCAGAACTCAACATAAATTACCAAAGCACGCATATCTCGCCTTCGCAACTATTTTCCATAAGACGGATGTAGCCCAAACGTGAAGCTTGGTATTATGTTTACTTGTGGAATAATTTATACCAGAATGGGTGATGTTTCAGTAATGCACCGAACGAATTCATGAAACACTTCATTGTTGACGCATAACCTAGCAGCTGTTCTTACGCTGTTTATTACTCCTCATCACTCCGAACCAATTATCACGCGCTACCGTCCAGAGTAATTTAAACCAATTATCAATCCCCTCATTAATCGTCCTCCCAATGAATTAATTACCGCCCGCGGTGATTGGTTCAGTCAGAAGGACGTCATCGCCATCACGAGCTGTGATTGGTTGTCATTTCGCCACGCCCACAGACAGGGCAAATCAGAGGCCAGTGCCCGCAGTCAACAACAAGGTCAAAGTTGATTAGCAAAGTTGGTAAGAGAATGGCAGCGCGTTAATTCCAACATCAATGAGAAGTTTTGATCCAATATGGAACGTTTGCCGATTCACAATAGGTATAATCTGACGAATAAAGAGCAGTTAACACACGACACAAGTAACTCTGCTCACTAATAACCAAAACGGAGTGTTTAATGCAACTACAACTGATTTCGTCTTCGCGAAATTGTGACTCTGACAGAGCATTGATCTAGACCCAGCACATACAGGGCATGTACCACTCCCTTGCGAGACAGATTCACGTGTTTGCGCGACAAAGCTTCTCGTCAAGAGTATTGATGTGCGAGCGAGACTCAGCAGCCGACTGAAAAGTGGCAGTCAAGTCTTCTTAATCGGTTTGAAGAATTGAAGAGAGCTTCGCACTGAATAAAAGAATGGAACGGAAAAAGATAACTTTCAGTGATGATTCTTTGAGTTGGAAGACAGTTCGACGCCAGTGATACTCATTCCGCGAGAGGTTCTATCCAACATGGTGAATTTAATCACTAGTATGGAGCTGAACCAATTTACTCGCCACGAGCTACCACTATGGGTGCTCCCGTATTTTATCACCCCTCCTCCTCACCAAAGTCACGCGCGTGACCACCGGTGAATACCTAGGTGTGGCTGAGTTAGGGGGAATTTTCCTCCGCGGCCGCACGGCAGCAATGACGCCCACAGCAGCACGGTAACCGGTTGATTGGAATAAAACTCGACCGGGCAAACGTGAAAACGATCGTAAAACTGGCCCTGGCGTCGTCGCTGGCAAGGTACGGCCTCACATGGAGTTCCGATCGAGGGCGATAGGGGAGATTTCCATACAGGGAGCGGGTAGGGTGCGGCGTGGTGACACGGGACCGCTCGGGCTGGACACAGTGTCAAACGGTAGAATGTCGCTTATAAGCTCAGATACGAAGTGTTTAATTCAAGATATTTGTATGAAAAAGGCTTGTAAATAAGAGCGCGATACGAAAATGAGGCTAGTAAGGAAACGCACATCTTCACATAATAGCTTCTGGATAAAATCAGCTCTGATATACTGCATAGGTATTACTTGCGTTACCACCAAACTTTTCACAATAAAAAGCATGGCCCTGCCTGCACCAGATTTATGGCATGAAAACAGGCCAGGTGTAGAACTCTCTCCCAAGGGGAGACCAACTAAAAGCAAAAACCCCGACCATATATCGTATGCCTCCCAGCGTGTCCTATTGTCATGTCAAGGGCTCTTCACGTGACCAGAGACCCGTGCATCACCCACCGAACCTTGGAGCGCGCCCATGTTTGGTGGGGCGACGGGGCGTTTATGCCTGACGACCCTCACCTCGACTTTTGTAGCCATGCTGTCCTTTGAAGGTATCGCAGTCAAACCGAGTCTCCCGTCACTGATACACAGTTGGCACAAGAGGCAATGATAATTGCGCTGGCACGCGCTAAGGCACAAATTTGCACTGAAAAATGAGCGGCGTAATGCCGTCTGCACCGCAGTGCACCACACTTGCACTAAATCACGCGTATGTTTGCACCGTGCAACTCCAGACGGTTGCAGTTAGGACGCAGAACGCTCAACCGCCCCTCGCGTCACACCGGTCACTGCGTCACTTTTCCCGGTGACCCGTCACAGTCACGTGCCGTTCGTTACACAGGAGCGACCGCCACCGTCGCGCGGCCACCGCTGCCGCTCCGAGTTCTGACTCGACGACGGCGGCAGCGCGCCGCCGCGCTCTCCTGAACCGAGGTGCCCGCCGCCACCGGCGCGCACGCGCTCTGACGTCACACCGGGCCCCAGTCATACACCAAACTACGACGACTGAACGAGGCCGATGTCGAAAGTCAGAACGTAGTAGATTACGAAATGAGGCATACGTCGTGGGAAGCGTCGTAGATCATCGTGTTTGTAATTACTTCATGAGCGGCCGAGATGGACAGATGTGCGTTCTCTCAGTGGGTGGGCTGGGTTCGAATCCCACTCTCTCCACGGCGTCAAGTGTGGTTCGGAGCGTGATTACCATGCGACTCCAGAATAACTATAGGCACGGACCGGCCGAAATTATGGCCCTTCTGGCCCAACATGGTGAGGTAGGTGTGATTGGAATCAAAACTGGCCACAGACGTGAAAACTGATCGAAGAATCACCGGGCGAGGTCAGAAGTCAGAACCGAGAACAAAGACAGGTGTGCTGGAGTACCGGATAATTGAACGAGGAGAAAACGAATAAAAAAGTCACGCTATACTTGTAGGAAACTATCAAAACAAGCATAGCCACGCCTTTCGACCTCGAAATAACAAAACAATTCACTGATTGCGCAGAAAGCCTCACAAAATCACACAATCAAGCGTCGATGGTAGCTTTGAACCTTCAGCAAACAAACCGAGCCAACAGACGCGAGGCAAACAGAACTAAATCCACAAACGTGGCGGGGAACAGGTGGTGCTATTCCTGAAATCCCGCCGGCAGTGGCGGTGGACGCTTCCTGAGATCAAAGGGCAGCGCACCGCCACCGCCGCCAAGGCACCAATATAGTGCAGTCGGGAGGAATGCAATCATGTAAACCAAGTGGGCGCGGCTGGCACGTGACCTCAGTGACGTCATTTGACGTCATTGGGGGACGGTATGGGGAGCGGTCTCTGACACAGGTGGGTAAATTAACCCGCGCACCGACGGGGGTCTGCGCCAACTTCGCACCGACGGGGGGGCGGATGACCCCCCCCCCTGAGATCTCGAGAACGAAGCAAGATAGCGACAAGCGGTAAACGGCATCGGATACGCACGGTCAAGATCTACAATTTTTACAAAGGTCATTTTCAGGTCAGGTCAAAGATGACGTCACAGGGGTCGAAAAAGTCAAAATGGCGGCGCTAGATATGGAGAGTTTTTCTCGAATAACTTTCGAATTAGTCAAGATAGGAACAAACTAAGGGCATCATCGTGATCCCCTCGTCAATCCGCATCGAATGATATATATGTTGACCTCGAAAGGTCAAGGTCAAAGGTTGACCTCAGGTCACGTGACCTCGAGGTCATCATGTATATCATTCGATGCGTCTTGACGAGCTGAACACAATGAGACCATCCACGCGTCTGTATCTTGTTCCTGTACGGAGTTATTGGCTAAAAACCTTTGGTGACCCTTGATGACGTCACATGACCTCACAGCTGCCCAACAGCAAAACAGACCTCAAGGTAGTGAAGGTTGATCGTATATGAAGTCATGTATGGTATATGGGGCCATTCCGACCCGTTTTAGTGGTAAAAAAAGGGGGTTGATTTTTCCCCCATTGACTTTTAATGGGGAGGTCGCGAAATTGACCTGACCTTAGGTCACCGATATCAAATTCCGAGATATACAAATTGTAGCTACTAATGACCTAATAACATCCTGCGACTTTCAAAGGCCTCCGACATCTACTGTAGCTCTGGCACGGTGACAAAGTTGCAAAAAAGTGACTTGAGGTTGGGTCATTCAAAGTGACCTGGTGACCTGACCTTAATAGGTAGGAGGTTCAAACTTGCACACCATGTGTAAAATTGATAAGGTAATAGTCATACCAAATTTCGCTCCCGCTATTCGCGAAAAACCTCAGGGGGGGGGCGGATATCCGCCCCCCCCCCGTCGGTGCGCGGGTTAAAGCCAAGTAAGTGTAAGCATGCCTGACATTCACACTACAACAGTAGCCAAAAACGATGCAGGGAAGCCCAAGGTATTTTCATTTTCCGGTATGGTAACGAAATCCCCTGTGTCGTGACTTCCAAAGTAATGCATTTTATGCTTAGATTAACGTAAAATGTTTTGAACTTTTTTTGCGGAGCATACCAATCGCATTATCAAAAATCACCACTTGTCGAGGAACATCAAACCATCAGCTGTGGAACTGACAGAAACATAAAACGATCAGGCATCCCTAAGATAACAACGGTCACAATTGCTAGCCACCAGGCCTCATGACCTATGCAGCACTTTAATCAGTCAGATCACATATAGCAGCGTCAATGCGGCCAGGGGTGACATGATAAGAGATCCCATACCTGATACAGGCGTACGCAGCATAATGTCTGTTGTCCTGGACAACAGACAGTGGTGCTGTGATACAAAATTAACGGTAGATCGTTAACCAGCCAAGCGAGTGGCGACAATTCTTTTTCCGTGTTTTTATACGTATAACATAGTTGAGGAGATGTAATTAAGCACTTACGCAGTCCAAAGGACAAGGAGGGAGAGGAATGGTAACTAATTTGTGTTTGGTTAGGTGCGCCCTTACGGCCTCATGTGTCCATATCAGAGCCACGGAAGGAAAGAATAGGGGGAGGCGTTATGTAAGCTGAGCCGATCATCGACGGGTGTACATACGGCAGCGGCCGAAAAGTGCTACTGTGAGACAGGTCACATAGCTACCCAAACGGTCACTTAGGAGGGGAGCGGAGTGCTCCAGGTACTGCCCTGCAAGATTACTTTACTACTTCCCTGCCTGTGCCCTGTACACTCGACCTCGCCAGTTGCCCGCCTGTGCCCTGTGCCCTTGCCAATTGCCCTTAGCAGACCGTCAGTCCGAGGCAGAGAACAGGGAAGCTGGCCTTATTTGGAGATAGCCTGGTCATGAGGGTAAACACAAAACAGGATGGATGTTTTCACCAGAAAAGACCACATTTTCAGCTTTCTATGTGGCATGAGCATGACACATCGTATTATGCCCGTCGACCTTGTCCGGGCTGAGCTGAACCCTTATCGCGTTCACTAGGAACCTAAATTGAAAGCAGCGATCATTAAACTTAGAGCGACACAGTTTCACAGTCTAATTAAAAGGCTCGGCCCGCGACCTCTGTGACAAGCTCTGCATTTCAAACAGTAAACAGGTCCCGAAATTGAACCTCAGAGCTCGTATACAAGCCTACTCCCGCCACCTAGCCGCCGATACAAAACTACTAGTTATCTGTTTTACCGCCAGTAGCGCTCTAATCACTAGGTTCCTACTTCTGCCACCAGTGGCGCTTCAATCGCTCAGTTCCCATTGCTGCCACCAGGGGCGCTAGCAGTAACGGCGGGCGACCGGCATATTTACGTCTGGACAACGAGTTGCGGGGAAAAGTGCTGATTGTGTTGCAGTTTTAGGAGCCGGTGATTAGGCTGGATTTTTGGGTTACTTTTTCGTTCCGATTCATATATTTCATATTGTTTGGCTTTTAAATATTTTAGTTCTTTCAGATAAATATTACTTGCCTTACAACTTTTGTAAAAACGTTTCATTTTTATTTTATAAGCCGACGTTCAGAGTCCTAAAAATACGTCAGCACTACAATCATTGTAAACAAACAAATGGAGCACCACTTGGCTCTGTTCCAAGGCCATTTTTTAGTTTATCTGGTGGTTTTCTTGCTCTTGTACGTCGTTTTGTTGGATGTTTCGAATCCCTTAAGATTGACTTATATCATATTTAAGAAGCATGTTGACTGAAAACAATCTGAAGTATCCAGGAGGCTGACAGAGGTCCTGACTCCTGAGCAATATCAATATCAAGTTGAACAAGTTATGAAATTTTGGTTGATAAACGCAAGTTGATCGGGCTCATATATCAGCAAGAAAAAGTAAAATTAAAAGAGCTTATTGGCCAAAAACAAGCTATAATATTGCAAACCTTGGAGCAATACTGAAGAGCACACTGAGCAGGATCATGCCAGAAAATGTTGACTGATGAGCGCATATTGATGTATTGGCATGAATATTGAATGATAACTTACAACAGCAAGATAAATTAGTGCTAACTATCAAGTTAAAATCTAGAATGAATGGACTTGGGCAGTTTTACTGTGCTTAGATGCTATGCAGATTGTAATGTGCATCAGGTACTCAGTGTCTGGCAAATGAAACATGCGATCATTTCATTGCTACTGGAGGAGAAATCTTGGATCACTAAATCCACTTTATGTTGATTTTGATGTTAATCATCATCACTGTATTTCTTGAAAAAAAGGATTGTGACAATGTGACAATCCATGCAACGATGTGAAATGTGTTCATAGTCATTCGTGATAGTGATTATTGGTCCAATATACAATGGCAAAGCTCTCAGTCTCAGCGTTTCTTCCTGTGGTGGATGGCCAGCAGTGACTCAGAGCTTAGAAGTATTAGTTTTCTTCACAGGGCTGGGATAAAAAGTACTGAGGGTAATCTTTCACCAAGGAACTCTACTTTGACATGGTATGATATGTAGGCACAAGTAGGTAGGTGCTCAGTTCCTATAGTCAGTAGTTGTGTATGTTTAGTCGGGTTAGCTTAGATCAGATTGTTAGTTTTTTAATTTACCAAATGTCCATAAAAATGTGACCTGAGCAATGAGCATACCTGAACCTGACTAACCTGACAGCTGACCTAACCTCAATCATCACACATATTTGCAGCCTACCCAAGACCTGCATATGGCAGTAGCACCCAGTTATAGGTAGGTACTCACCCTAACTCAATCTTACCTGCTAACCTTCAACTTGCCAAAAGTTAGCTCACATTGCCAAGCTGCATCCAGGGAAACAGTCAACTGAGGAACTGGCTCATTGGGTGGCTGGTGTGAGTCTGTGCATTTTAAGTGTTTCTTCTCTGAAGCTGCTCTGCACTGCTGTATGTCATGTTAGATGCTCAGAAAATGTGGGAAATGATTACTAAGCTACTTTAGTGCTTTGTTAATGCTCGAGACATGAACAAGTACAGATCCTGCAAGGTAC